CCAATAGCCAGCAATCCAAAACAGTCCAGTGGCACCTTTAAGACCAAGATTTATTCAGGTACAAGCTCTCCCTCCTCCGCGAGGGCAGATCTGCACGTTCCCCTCCCCCCAATAGCCAGCAATCCAAAACAGTCCAGTGGCACCTTTAAGACCAAGTTTTATTCAGGTACAAGCTCTGCCTCCTCTGCGAGGGCAGATCTGCACGTTCCCCCCCCCAAAATAGCCAGCAATCCAAAACACTCCAGTGGAGCCTGAGCAGTGGGTGTTGCCTTCTGACACACTTCCGGTGATGTCAGTGGGTGTGGCATATGCAAATGAGTCATGCTAATGAGTTGTGCTAATGAGCTCCCGCACCTCTTTTTCTACAAAATGACCCCTGGCTACCAGAGTTTGCAAGCTTAGCACAGCACTCCACTGCTGATCTCTGAACCGGCCAGGTTCTCACGCACAGCTCTGCTCTCCCTTGGTCCGCAGCATCCACGTCTACCAATCCTCGGACAACATCCGCAACAGGAAGAACAGCATGAAGATGCAACACGGCGCTTCAGTGACGTGCATCTTGTAAGTGCCAAGTTATGCTTTGCTCAGTACAATCTCCGGCGCAAGGGAAAGTGCCGAATTTGGCAGCCAGAGAATCTCAGCTTTTGTTTGGAAACCCACCCACCCACCCCCAAAAGAACCTCTCCGGTGTCTAGGACTGCAGAGCGTGAACAATAACGACTGAAATCTACGAAAGCCCAGGGTGCAGCGCTTAGCTCTGCCATTTTGAGGGCGGAGCTTAACGTGACTCACTGAAGAAGCGAGCCGTGACTCACGAAAGTGTGTGCGTGGTGGTTAGGAGCGCGGACTCTAATCTGGGAGAACTGGGTTTGATCCCCCACTCCTCCTCCACCTGCAGCTGCTGGTGTGACCTTGGGTCAGTCACAAGTTCTCTCAGAGCTGTTCTTTCAAGGGCAGTCCTCGAAAGAGCTCTCTCAGCCCTGCCTACCTCACAGGGTGTCTGTTGTGGGGAGGGGGAGGGGAAGGAGTTTGTAAGCCGCTCTGAGACTCCTTTGGGGAGTGAAGGGCAGGGTAGAAATCCAATCTCTTCTCCTTCTTCTTTTACCTCACAGGGTGTCTGTTGTGAGGAGGAGAAGGGAAAGGAGTTTGTCAGCCGCTCTGAGACACCTTTGGGTAGTGAAGGGCGAAGTATAAATCCAATCTTCTCCTCCTCCTCTTCTTCTTCCACGTGAAGCTGCTGGTGTGGCCTTGGGCAAGCCATAGTTCTCCCAGAGCTGATTTCTCAAGAACAGTTCTCTCAGAGCTCTCTCAGCCCCACCTACCTCACAGGGTGTCTGTGGTGGGGAGGTGAAGGGAAAGGACTTTGTAAGCCACTCTGAGACTCCTTTCGGTTGTGAAGGGCGGGGTAGAAATCCAATCTCCTCCTCTTCTTCACATGTCCAGCCCGAGCAAGGAAAAAGGGAAGCAAAACCACCATAGAAGGATGGATTATTATTAGAACAAAGTCTGAGTCCAGTGGCACCTTTAAGACCAACGAAGTTTAATTCTGGGTATAAACTTTCGTGTATATGTGCACTTCTGCAAAGTAGATTAGTATTGTTTACTAACCTGTGAGCTACCCTTCGTTCCGCCAAGCCGTCTACGCCATCCGGCTGCTCTCTCCATATCCACGTGTCCTCTCTCGCTGCAGGTTTCTCGACAACCAGGTGTTTGTATCGCTGGCCAATGGCGAACTCATTGCCTATCAAAGAGAAGCAGGTAACGACGTTTCACTGTAACGCCATTTCAAGGAAGGGTTTGCCCTGGGAGGGTGGGGGTGGCGGAAACCGAGAAACCAGTGTGGTGTAGCGGCACGAGTGCGGGGTTTGAAAATCTGGGAGACCCGAGTTTGAATCTCCACTCTGCCTTGGGCCAGACTACCTCATAGGGCCGTTGTGAGGACGAAATGGGGGAGAGGGGAAACGACGTGAACCGCTTTGGGGATGAAAAGTTGGGTATAAATTGACTAAATAAATAATATCCCCTCCCGGAAGGGGCCAGTGGGCGGGGCCCGTGAGCAGCGCTCCCTCTCAGCTGTGGAGTCCTGTGAGCAAAAATTCCATTTTGTGAGCTGCTGGCATTAAAGTGGTGAGCCAGTGATTTGGCGACGGCATCAATGGGTTTGCTCCGGAGCCATCCCTTCCTGAGCGAAGGCAAAAATGTATGAGCCGGAGGCTAAAAGAACTGTGAGCCGGCTCACGCTAACCCATCTTACGGGGAGCACTGCCCGTGACCCAGGTGCAGCACCGTCCTGTCAGGCTTTCCACTCACAGCTTAAAGAGCAGAGAAAAACGGTATCCAAGCAAGGCCTCTGAATCACTGCCCGAGGGCTTCTCTGAGAGGAGGCCGCCTTTCTCCCTGAGCTGGGGGTGGCACATCGCAGTAGGCACAGCCAAGGCCGCTCACCACCCACACCCCCTCTGTCACATCCGCCTCACACAGGGTGTCGGTTGCGGGGAGGGGAAGGGAAAGGAGATTGTAAGCCCCTTTGAGACTCCGAGTGAAGGGCGGGGTATGAATCCAATCTCCTCCTCCTCCTCCTCCTCCTCCTCCTCCTTTTCTCCTCCTCTCCTTCTTCTTCTTCTCCTCCTCTTCTCCTTCTTCTTCTCCTCCTCCTCCTTCTCCTCCTCCTCCTCCTCCTCTCCTTCTTCTTCTCCTCCTCTCCTCCTCCTCCTTCTCCTCCTCCTCTTCTCCTTCTTCTTCTCCTCCTCCTTCTCCTCCTCCTCCTCTCCTTCTTCTTCTCCTCCTCTTCCTCTTCTCCTCCTCTTCCTCTTCTCCTCCTCTCCTCCTCCTCCTCTTCCTCCTCCTCTCCTTCTTCTTCTTCTCCTCCTCTTCTCCTTCTTCTTCTCCTCCTCCTCCTTCTCCTCTTCTCCTCCTCTCCTTCTCCTCCTCCTCCTCCTCCTCTCCTTCTTCTTCTCCTCCTCCTCTTTTCCTCCTCCTCTTCCTCTTCTCCTCCTCTTCCTCTCCTCCTCCTCTCCTCCTCTTCCTCCTCCTCTCCTTCTTCTTCTTCTCCTCCTCCTCCTCTCCTTTTCCTCCTCCTCCTCTCCTTTTCCTCCTCCTCCTCCTCTCCTACTTCTTCTCCTCTTCTCCTTCTCCTCCTCCTCTCCTTCTCCTCCTCCTCTTCTCCTCCTCCTCTCCTCCTCCTCCTCCTCCTCTCCTTCTTCTTCTCCTCCTCCTTCTCCTCTTCTCCTCCTCCTCTCCTCCTCCTCCTCCTCCTCTCCTTCTTCTTCTCCTCCTCCTTCTCCTCTTCTCCTCCTCCTCTCCTCCTCCTCCTCCTCCTCTCCTTCTTCTTCTCCTCCTCCTTCTCCTCTTCTCCTCCTCCTCTCCTCCTCCTCCTCCTCCTCTCCTTCTTCTTCTCCTCCTCCTTCTCCTCTTCTCCTCCTCCTCTCCTCCTCCTCCTCCTCCTCTCCTTCTTCTTCTCCTCCTCCTTCTCCTCTTCTCCTCCTCCTCTCCTCCTCCTCCTCCTCCTCTCCTTCTTCTTCTCCTCCTCCTTCTCCTCTTCTCCTCCTCCTCTCCTCCTCCTCCTCCTCCTCTCCTTCTTCTTCTCCTCCTCCTCCTCCTTCTCCTCCTCCTCCTCCTCTTCTTAACTGGCTCATCCGTGATCAACAGGCACGGTCCATCAGAGAAGATCAACGTCGTCAGGTCCCCTGCCTGAACCCTTTCCTCTCTTCTCAGGCCGTTTCTGGGACTCTCAGAACTCCAAGTCCGTCGCCTTGGGCTCCCCGGGCAGCCCCGTGACGAAGATGGTGGCCGTGGCGGGGAAGCTGTGGTGCGGGTGCCAGAACCGCGTCGTCGTCTTGAGCACGTCTGCCCTGCAGCAGGAGGTACGAAGGGCGCCCTGCTCCCATTCCGACTCCGTCTTCCCACGAGATCCCCGTTGGGTTGCCAGCGCTGGGTTGGGGAATTCCTGGCGTTTGGGGGGCGGAGCCTGGGGAGAGGCGGGGCCTTGGGTGAGGACAATGCCGTAGCGCCCGCCCTCCAAAGCAGCCATTTATCCAGGGGGAGTGGCTAGTCTGTGGTCTGGAGATCAGCTGCAGTTCTGGGAGATTTCCGGGCTCCCAGCAGAATCTCTTTCTTCCTGTCACATCCTTTTCTGCTAGACCAAAAGTGTCCCATGAGGCAAGGCGTGTCAACTAGACACGCTCCATATTCCCGTCGTCTTCTTCTTCCTCTTCTCCTGCCTAGCCTACCTCACAGGGTGGTTGTGTGGGGTAAATAAAGACGGAGGGAAGCCATGTATGTGACTTTGGTCCGGCCACTCTCTCTCAGCCCAGCCTACCTCGCAGGGTTGTTGTGACAGAAAAACGGAGAAGGGAGGAAAGCCAGTATGTGACCTTGGGCCTGCCACAGAACCTAGCCTACCTCACAGGGTTGTTGTGAGAGGGAAATGAAGACGGGAGGAAACCACATGTGTGCCTTTGGGCCCAGCCGCCCTCTCTCTCTCTCTCTCTCTCTCTCTCTCTCAGCCTAGCCTACATCACAGGGTTGTTGTGAGGGAAAAACTGAGAAGGAAAAACATGTATGTGAACTAGGGTCAGCCCCCCCCCTCGGCCTAGCCTACCTCGAAGGGTTGTTCTTAAGGAAAAATAGGGAAGGGAGGAAACCGTGTATGTGACTTTGGTCCACTCACTCTCAGTCTAGCCTACCTCACAGGGTCGTTGTGAGGGGGGAAATGGAATTGTGTGCTCCTCGGATGAAAAAAATGCGCTGGAGGGATCGGTTTCCACTCGGAGAAGCCCGAAGTTCCCATGAAGCTTACAGGCTCCCCTCCCTCTGTGGCTTCAGCCCGGTCTTTTCCCTCCCTCATCCAGCATTCCTTCCATGTCGGCCAAGACGGCAGCCGCAGCGTCACCTCCCTGGTGAGCTCCAGCGTGGGCGTCTGGGTGACCCTCCAGGGCAGCGCCCAGGTGCGGCTCTACCATCCCGCCAGCTACGAGCAACTAGCGGAAGTGGATGTCACCCCGCCAGTCCACAAGATGTTGGCAGGTAAGACCCCCGAGCCAGAAAGAAGCATCCCGACTCGCGAGGGCGTGATCTGGGGACGCTCTGGTGAGAGGGCAGTCCGACGAATGGCGGCGTTTGATGCTGGGTGACTGAAGGGAACCTCCACGTTCGGAGACAGTCAACCTCTGGATAACTCTGCCAGGGGACAACATCAGGGGAAGGCCTCAGCGCCTCTGCCCTCTTGTTAGCACCTCCAGGGGAATTGCTGGGAGGGGCGGGGTAGAAGTGCGATTGATTGATAGATAAATAACTAAATTGGTTGGCCCCTGTGTGAGACGGGATGCTGGACTAGATGGACTCTCCCTGGTCTGATCCAGCAGGGCTCTTCTGAGGTTCTTCTCAGGGGAAGGCCTCGGCCTCTCTGCCCTGCTGCTGGCCCTCCAGAGGAACTGGCTGGCCCCTGTGTGAGACAGGATGCTGGACTAGATGGACTCTCCCTGGTCTGATCCAGCAGGGCTCTTCTGAGGTTCTTCTCAGGGGAAGGCCTCGGCCTCTCTGCCCTGCTGCTGGCCCTCCAGAGGAACTGGCTGGCCCCTGTGTGAGACAGGATGCTGGACTAGATGGACTCTCCCTGGTCTGATCCAGCAGGGCTCTTCTGAGGTTCTTCTCAGGGGAAGGCCTCGGCCTCTCTGCCCTGCTGCTGGCCCTCCAGAGGAACTGGCTGGCCCCTGTGTGAGACAGGATGCTGGACTAGATGGACTCTCCCTGGTCTGATCCAGCAGGGCTCTTCTGAGGTTCTTCTCAGGGGAAGGCCTCGGCCTCTCTGCCCTGCTGCTGGCCCTCCAGAGGAACTGGCTGGCCCCTGTGTGAGACAGGATGCTGGACTAGATGGACTCTCCCTGGTCTGATCCAGCAGGGCTCTTCTGAGGTTTTTATCCCACCATACATTTCTGCTACCAGAAGCCCCTGGGTGTGATAGCCATGCTTTCCCTGCATGTGCCTTCCAGGAATTCACACAGTCCCCATAACATTCTTTGGTCTGGGTTAGAACATAAGAACATAAGAGAAGCCAATGTTGGATCAGGCCAGTGGCCCATCTAGTCCAACACTCTGTGTCACACAGTGGCCAAAAATACCAGGTGCCATCAGGAGGTCCAGCAGTGGGGCCAGGACACTAGAAGCCCTCCCCAAGCACCAAGAATGCATATGGAGTCATTTCCCTATCATCCTTCAGGACTCCTTTTACCCCTTGGTCATCCAAGGGCCCCACGGCCTCCCTGGCTGGTTTCCTGCTTCTAATGTATTTGAAGAAAGTTTTATTGTTGGTCTTTATGTTTTTTGTGATATGCTCCTCATATTCCCTTTTTGCCTGCCTGATCACAGACTTGCGTTTTATTTGCCACAGCCTGTGTTCCCTTTTATCAGCCTCACTGAAACTAGCTTTCCCCCGCTTAAAGGAATCCTTCTTACCTTTTACAGCTTCCATTACTTTGTTTGTTAACCATGTAGGCTTTTTCCTATACCTATATGTGTCTTTCCTAACCTGCGGTATATATTTTTTTCTCAGCTTCTAGGATTGTAGTTTTAAATAGTCTCCAAGCTTCCCCAATGGTTTTGACCCTTTCTAATTAATTGCTAAGAACTGCGGTGGCTCAGAGGTTAAGACGCTGAGCTGCAGACCGGAAGGTCGGTAGTTCAGCAGTTTGAGACCCAAGTGTGCCGCGTGACGGAGTGAGCTCCCGTCTCTAGTTCCAGCTCCTGCCAACCTAGCAAGTCGAAAGCAAGAAATTGCAAGTAGATAAATAGGTACCACTTCGGTGGGAAGCTAACAGTGTTCCGTGCTCCTCGGCGTTTAGTCATGCCGGCCACATGACCACGGAAACGTCTTCGGACAGCGCTGGCTCTTCAGCTTGGGAATGGAGATGAGCACCGCAACCCTAGAGTCGGATCCGACTGGCTTTCGAGCAAGGGAAACCTTTACCTAATTCATTGTTGGGGAACTGAGACTATTTGGGTTTGGACTGTAGATTCTCCATCGCTGCACTTTCACGTCCCAAAGAGCCATGATGGAGAGGCGAAGAACCAGCTCCACCCCACACTCGCCCGTCTTGTGTACAATTTCACTGTTTGCCCCCTTTGACTCCCGATTAATCCCTCATCGTCTGCGGCTCGCAGGGTCGGACGCCATCATCCGTCAGCACAAGGCCGCCTGCTTGCGGATCACCGCCCTCCTGGCGTGCAAGGACCTGCTATGGATCGGGACCAGCGCGGGGGTGGTGCTGACGCTCTCCATCACGGCCAACGCCGCCTCCTCGAAGACTCCGCCGTTGCCGGTGGGCCTCTCCCAGGGACACACGGGCCACGTTCGGTTCCTCACTGCCATCGAGCTGCCGGAAGGTTTCGATGTCCTCTTCCCCTTGCCCAGGGACACAGGTAGGTCTGAGCACTAGAGATGTGAAGGCCCGGAAAAAAACCCGAAAAAATTCGGGGAAAAGCCGGGTTTTTTCCCGGGTTTTTTTCCTGAAGCCTTTTTTGTTTTTTTCCGAAAAATTGGAAACATTGAAAAAAGAAAAGGAAAGGGGGAAAAAATTGATTAGGGAACGTTTTATTTTAACATGATAAATAAACTATTTTAAGACAAGGTGTTCAGATATTTTCCAAATCATTTATGCCAAGTAAAAATGTCCATAGTCATATTTTATGTTCCTAAAGTAACAGAATGACTGTCAATCTAGAAAAGACAAAAGAAGTGCTAATGTAGCTTTTTTTCCAATTTTTCCGAAAATTTCCGTTTTTTCCCGGAAAAAACTGGGGGGGAAACAGGGTTTTTTCCGAGCTTCAAAATTTCCAGAAATTTTACATCTCTACTGAGCACAGGTGCAAGAGGCACAAGGTGAAAGGGGGGCCAGGGCGGGGATGAGAAATGAACTCCCAGGCATCATGCATTCCCCACGATACACTCTCAGGGATCTTACACACGGATGCATGTTCTGCTCAAGTTCCACTGCTTCCTGTCAGGAAGGACTTCTCTCAGATTGTCAGGATAGCAAGAACTCTTCTGGGGAGCAGCTAATCATATCGGAGGTTTTCAGCAGTTTTTCAGGAGGACGTTCCCAGGGGGGGGGGATGGAGAAAGCAGGGCGCCCGCGGGCTCCTCTGCCCTGCCACAGTGGAGGTTCCCGCGGGGGAGCTGTCACATCATTTGAATGCAGTCCGGAAGGAAAGTTAAAGAGACCCAGTTTCGCGTAGTGGTTAAGGGTGGCGGACTCCAATCTGGGAGAACCGGGTTTGATTCCCCGCTCCCCCACATGCAGACAGCTGGGTGCCCTTGGGTCAGTTACAAGTTCTTTCGTAGCTGTTCTCTCAAGGGCAGTTGTCAGGTAGCCCTGTCATAGATCTGGAATGTGGAGGGGTACCCTCCTTCTCGTTCCCAGCTCTTTCCTGCTCAGCTACCGTGCACCAGTGTTCCCTCTAAGCTGAGTTAGTGTGAGCTAGCTCACAGTTTTTGAGCCTCCGGCTCACACATTTTTGTCTTAGCTCAGGAAGGGATGGCTCCTGAGCAAACTAATTTTATGCAGTAACCAAATTGCTCACTCACAACTTTAATGCCAGTAGCTCACAAAGTAGGATTTTTGCTCACAAGACTCCGCAGCTTAGAGGAAACATTGCCATGCACTATAAGAACATAAGAACATAAGAGACGCCAATGTTGGATCAGGCCAAAGGCCCATCCAGTCCAACACTCTGTGTCACACAGTGGCCAGAAATATCAGGTGCCATCAGGAGGTCCACCAGTGGGACCAGGATATTAGAAGCCCTCCCACTGTTGACCCCCCCCCAAGCACCAAGAAGACAAAGCATCACTTGCCCCAGAGTCCCTACCTATACCTTGTGGCTAATAGCCACTGATGGACCTCTGCTTGACCTCGTAGAAGTTACAGCTGCAGTTTACATGGCTGGGAAAGTTAACGGCTTTTTCCCCAAGTGCGAAATATATCCATTGGTTCATGCTTACAGGGGGAATGTTTGATTTTACTATAAGTCAGAGGCCCTAGTACTGACGGCCATTCCTGACACGAGCTGTACATGTGTCTTTAGTACTGGATCCACTAATAAACAGTTATCTTCTTATGAAGCCCTGTGTGGTGTGACCTGACTTAGAAACCTGACAGCACAGCAGTCCTCAAAAGAGCTCTCTCAGCCCCACCTACCTCACAGACTGGTGTGGGGAGGGGGAGGGGAAGGGATTGTAAGTCACTTTGAGACTCCAAGTGAAGGGTGGGGTATAAATCCAATCTCCTCCTCCTCCTTCTAAATGAGTTGCCAGGGCTGATGGGGAAGGAGAAGCAAAATGCGAGTAAACCATAAATCAGAAGATCAAAGTGGCATGGAAAACCAAGTCTACACTATGTGAAATGCAGCAAATGTAGTTTCCGGAGGGTACAATGAAAGAGAAACAAACCCAACCTGAAGATCAAGTTAGGTACTCAAAAGGTTGAGTAGCAAGAACATGGAAAAATATATATCTAAATACTTATTGCACAGTGCACCAGATAAAGATTTAAAACAACATACGTACACGAAATATAAACATGTCATATACAGCAACCTGTTAGAGTTGCACCTACAGTGATTACAAGATGTCAACCGGGGCTCTTTTTGTAGCAGGAACTCCTTTACTAGATGACACACCCCTAATGTAGCCAATCCTCCAAGAGCTTACAAGTAGCCCCTGTAAAAAGAGCTCTGTAAGCTCTTGGAGGATTGGCTACATTAGGGGTGTGTCGCCTAATATGCAGAGGAGTTCCTGCTACAAAAAGAGCCCTGAATTATTGTCAACAATGGTTCCACATTGTCAGACTCTTGAACAAAGTTTCTCTCAGCAACACGCTCTTGGCAGTGATTTGTTTATTGAGTAGTAAAGATGATTCAAGCTAAGGCTTCTCTGTGTCAGATCTAACCTTTCGGCGCCAAGGCCCAAAGTTATACAGAGGTCAAACCAGCCCCCCCCCCCAGTTTTCCATCCAATCAGCACATTCATCCAGCCCACCTAGATTTCGTGATCTTCTATACGCCCACCTGTGAGACTACCGTTAACGTTATCTATACTAAGGAAGCAAGCAGAGACAGCATCCACAGTCATTGCTCGTTCTTCCTAGAGAAAGGGAGGCGTCTTAGAAAAATAGCTGCCCAGCTAGCTGCTATAGCAAAGCATCCCACAAGCACACACACAGAGACACACACACACACACAGAAGCCCCCCCTCCCCCTTGGCTCTACGGCATCACAGTTATTTTCATGGCAAATACACATAAAACACACATAAAAATATATAACTACCAAGCCTGTTAAGTATGAGACTTCAGGCAGCTCTTAAACTAGTGATTCAGCTTTAATGGAACATGACAAAAACAGCACAACACAGGAGAGCAGAAAGCTCTCTCTTAAACTCTTCCGGGCTTGGATAACCACGCCCCTATTGAGTTAAGAACCAATCAGTATGCTTGCATAAGGTCCAATAGGCTTTGTTCCCTCTGAAACCTTTCCCAGTCCCTGATTGGTCTGTTACGCAGAATAGCCAATCAGAATGTTTTATTTACAATACCTTGGCTCCTGTGGAGTTATGACCCAAGCTTCAGTATGTATGTACAATACATAACAAAGCCAGACACGTTTCGGCCCTAAGGGCCTTCTTCAGTGGTCTAAACCAGGGGTGTCGAACTTATTTGTTATGAGGGCCGGATCTGACATAAATGAGACCTGGCCGGGCCGGGCCGGGCCAGGCCGGGTGTGTCATAAAATGTAATGCCAGGTAGCGGAGATACAAACTTTATAAAGGACACAAAGGGTGTGTGTTTTTTTAACTTAAGATAAAAACAGGCTTAAAACATCAGCTCTGTCAGCTGCAAAACTACTTTTGATGTATTGACATTCACCACAGAAATCTCACGCTCAGAGTTCTGAGTCTAAGACCCAGGTTAAAACATGAAATGGCTGAGTGATTAAGAGAGTCTGGCGAAGCAAGCGATGATGCAGCAGCAGCAGCAGAACTGGAAGCAGGAGACGGCCCAGTTCCACTGCGGGCCTGATAGAAGCCCTTCGGGGAGAGCCCGATCCGGCCCCTGGGCCGCATGTTTGACACCCCTGGTCTAAACCCTATTGCACCCGCATAAAAAGATCTTTTGAGGCAGGTTTTAAATAATTCACTACAGGGTGAGGCTCCAAATAAAGATTGTAAAACAGGCCTGTAAGTAATAAGGAGCCAGCGCTCATCAGGGATAATATCTGTGAGCCGATATTCTGTCCTTGTCCGTAGCTCTAGTAACGAGTGTAGCTTGCCCCTTTGGTTCCAGCTGCACAGTTTGGGTCTTCTCAGTGCAGAAAGCCGCATTCACCTTTCTCTCCTCTCCCTCCTTGCCCCTTTCCTAGGTACGGAGAAGTCCAACGACATGGAGAGACGCGACTCCACGAGACACAGGCCTCCCAAGTCGAAGATGCTTGTGATCAGCGGCGGAGACGGTTACGAAGACTTCCGGCTCACCAACAGCAGTGAGACGGTGGGACGGGACGACAGCACAAACCACTTGCTGCTCTGGAGGGTCTGAGCGTCGGAGTGGGGTGTGGGCCCCCTCTGGGGACAGCGAGAGAGCGCTTCGGTCCCGTCCTCGCCCGTTCACACACGCACACGTACCGCTCGTCTCCGTGTCTCATCTCCCATCTTGGCTGTCTCGAATGGGTGCGCGTGGCCGCCTTCCGGATCCGCCGCGCGGAGAGAGCGACGCCTCTGCGGCGCGTTGTGTACAGATTTCCCCTGATCCCCGCTCCCAGACAGATCCGTGTTGCACAGTTTGCGCTTGCTGCCATGTTTTGAGTGTAAGCGCATGTGTGAGAGATAGGAGGCGAGAGCACGGGGTGGGTAGGGGGCGCTCATGATACCTTGGGTCCGCCTGAAGGTCCCAAGAGAGGAAGAAAGAAAGAGGGACAATCTAGGAAGCCGGCCCTTGCGTGAGAAAAAGATTGTCTGCTTCTTGTGTTTCGCTTGGTAAGAAACCTCCCGACTAAACCAGCCAACCAGGAGCCGTTGGGTGTTTTGGCGCCCGCACTTTGAGGCCAACAGTGGATTGTGTCAACGGAACGCCCCTTGGACAACCACCACTGTTAGCACATTCACCCCATGGATTGGACACTGTATCCCCCACCCTTTGGTTGCCTCGCACCATCTTCCCTTGGACATTAATGTAGCCACCTCCACTCAGCGCCACCATGATATTCCATCCATGTAGCCAGCACCAGTCAACCTTTCCCAGGATTCTCACGAGAACCACTCCACGACATCACCATGCCAACATCATGGACTCTCTCCCTCGTCGCCAGTTTACAGATAACTTTGAGGGGGGGTATATGTTCGCGTGCGTGTGTGTGTGTTTTTAAAAATATATATATGTATAAATAACCTTTATTTATTGTCAATTGAGGAGAGGAGGCGGAAGGAGAAGCATTGGATCGATGAGCTCTTGTGGTTTCTGAACAACTGAACAAGAGCTGGGAAGGTAGAACTGTGTGCAGCCTGTGTCACAATAAGAGCAGGCCACAGTCAGAGATGCCTGTGTGCGGCTTGTATCGTTCTGCATTTCTGATTATGGTCATTTCCCAAGTATGCATGTTGAATGTCTGAAGAGATGAAGAGGGACATGGCAGGTTGACAGGAGGGGAGGTAGACCCCTTATAGCATTCCGGGCAACAGGTGAAGGTAGACCCCTTATAGCGTTCCGGGAAACAGGTGAGGGACAAAGACACAGGTACGGACAGAATAATTGTGCAATATTGGGCGGAATTTCCCACCGACGGGTAGGTACGAAGGTCCCACACGGACGGGAGAGGGTGTGGGTGCGGAAACCAGCCGGGGCCTCCCCGCTGGTTTTCTGTAGGCCTTCTGGGTTACAGGGGCAACCAATCTCCATGTTGTCAAGGGAAGGAAGGAGCAGGGAAGGCGGGCGTTGTTCTCGCCCACGTGCTCTCCCACCTTGCACAGTATTTATGTTATGTTTGGGGAAGAGGGACTGTTAGCGGCACTTAACTTATGTGTTTGCTTTTTTAAAAATTCCAAGCGGGGCCCGCAAAGGAAAAAAAAGATGCCAGTTTTTGTTGTTGTTCTTGATTATCTCCTGCTGCAAGAAGGATGGGTTTGCCGTGGGAAAGGAAGATCAACGATGCGGAAATCTGCCGCTCCTGCACAGATATTCCCTTCCAGGACTCTGTAAACCCAGGGTCCCCAACCTTTCTGCACCAGCGGGCACTTTGGGACTTCTGACATAGCGTGGTGGACGCGGATGCAAAATGGCCGCCGTAGGAGGCGGAGCCAGCCGCAGCATGGCCGCCCCAGTTTACCTTCTGTCACACAGTGAAGATCCCGACACGGGGGTGGCCGCTGCTGCCAAAGCAATGTTTTCAAAATTCCACAAGCCAATCAGAAGCCTCGTTTGGCAAAACCGCAAACCAATCAGAAGCCTAGTTTGGCAAAAGCCCTACATGGCTCCTCCCCCTTTCTAAATTCACTTGGCGGGCACCAGCGAAGGTCCCGGTGGGTGCCACGCTGCCCACGAGCCCTACTTTGGAGACCCCCGCTGTAAACTATTAGCCCAATTTGCATGTTTTCTCTCCCCCCCCCTCCCAAACTCTCAGCTGCTCTGTTTTCTCTCCCCCCCCC